TCGGTGTGCTTCCGTTCAGTTGCATTATTGCTGATTTGAGTGTTACTAATTGTAAATAAATGATTTATAAAGTAATTATGGGTTTTGTTAAGCTTACTTAATCTATCAAACCTTCAACAGGCAACAGCTATTTACATATTTAGGTATGAAAATATTAACTATTAACTTCTCCTGATTTATTCCTATATTTATATAAATTAAATATAATTTATTCCTATAAATAACATTGACGACTATTTACATTATACAACAATTGCATTACTAACTATAAAATAATTTATTTTGATAGTAATAAAAATATAAAATTAAATACACCATAGAATTAAACTCAACTCATTATAAAACATTTATAATTTACTCAATGACAGGAATAGAGATTGAACATATTATGCTGTATAATAAATTAATAATACATATTAAGAGTAAAGAAAATTTAAATATTAGTGAAATTATAAATTGATTAATTGTAATTCACAATCACTTTTAATAAACCAATTCACCATCCCAATTTAAACGTAAATTTTAATTTCCCCTGTTCCCTCTTTATCATACAATCATTTTTACGTAATTTGTGTGAAATACCAACAGAATTCAACCTTCAATCATAGCAAAATGTTCGTAATATTAACAAATAATAATAAATCAGTAATTTATAATTTATGTAAAACTACATCTTTAGCAGTCCAATAGATCAGGTCCATCTCTCACCTTTGATCAAAATAATTATATTCTATAATAGAACAAAATTAACTTAGCTTTGATATTATCGCATTAATTTTCCTTCAAAATCCCACCCTTTTCCTTCTAACTTATTTTGTAAAATGGCTTTCATTTTAGAATAGTTATTTTAATTAAATTTGTTCTTTCTAATTTAACTATATCAATTTGGTTTCACATACAAATTACTTACAGGAGAATGTTTGTACCACGGGGTTAACCTAATTGTGCTTTATTGGTGTATTAACTTAGGTATCAGGGTAAACTATCATTTAAATTTAAAACTTTTTGTATTATCCTTTATTATGCAATTAAGGTGTATTTAATTAAGAATCATTCAATAACAGTTCTTCATTTATTAGAGAACAATGGTTTAATGATAACATATTTATCAAAACCATAACTGTAATGTAAAATATTTATTTATTTTTATAAACTTTGTTGATAGTAATAATTTCCTGATAATTCAGACATTAAAAATTAAAAATACATACAAGTACAATAAAACAGTAAAAGTTACTTATACAATTTGATACTTGTTTAACATTACTGTATTCCAAATTTGATTTTATAATATTTGGTACATTGTTATACATTTACATTAAAATAAATGGAGTATGTCATTCAATAAATTTATTTTGAAATATTTGAGTTATTATTTTCAGAAAATACTAAAATAAATAACAAAAATAAGTATTTCAAAGGGATGAAAAATGATTACAATTTAGCTATAAATAATAAGAGTAAGTAAGTGAGTCATGTAATTGATGTTATCCCAATTCAATTAATTTTTATCTCTTGTTAATCTGGAAGAAATATGACTGGCGATGCCTTCAATTTTCCAATACTGCAAATCAGTAGCCAGAATATTCAGCGAAATTCAACTTATAGGCCTTTCAAATTGTAGTAGTGCTATCCTTCAACATCTTATTTTATAGACATACCAAAACTTGTAGAAAATAAATAAATTTTCTATGCATTAAGTCTTAAGTTATGGCAATGCAAAATTGGAAAATTGGAATCTCTTTGTCTGTGTCAAATATATTACAGTATAAAGCGTTACGGTTTGCTCAAGTCTAAACTACAATACCAAAAATTGTCAGAAGGAATAATCAGGTTAGATTTTGCTGATACTATGTAATAATTATCAATATTGGTATTTTATTCAAGAATTATACGTAGTAATCCGAACATATAGAAAACGTTTTACACCTATTTTCAACTGTAAATAAGATGCTTTAATCATTGAAGTCTCAGTTCGTCAGATGAAGACATTGTTAATCAAATATTAACCCACGATTTAGTGAACACACGAATAACAAGTATTTGGAATTTTTAAAGACCATAAATTAACCGGTTTCAGATCAGATTCAAAGAGTACGACAGAATTGTGGCTACTCAATCAAAACATAAATAATTTGGTCAGGCTGCTATGTTAAACAATGAAAACAATAATCCAAAAAGTATTATGCCGTTCGATGACGGTTTTCCTATGTCATAGAACTTCGACGATCGATATACTGACGGCTCACGGGACTGGCAGTACTCTAGACTGTCAAACACGACCTTTGACACCATCGTCACGAGGGTATTTTAAAAATTGAAATTTTGTGTTGCCACAGCACATCCGTCTCATAGGTTGGTGATATAATTTTACATTTACAATAAACTTTACTTGCTAAATTATTTCTACCTATATCAAAAATATAATTGACTGTTTACATATACGAGAGTATATAGGCTATTCAATGACAATGAATGAGCGACAATTATTGTAGTATCTAGAGATGTAAATGTACTAATTATTATATATTATATTTCCTACAAACGGTAGTTATTCAATTCGTAAAATATGATACTGAATAAATTTTTGTGTATGCATTTAATATTTTAATTTTCTAAATATGTGCTAATATATTGCATAAATTGATAAAAGTGATAATTTTAGAACTAAAATACATATACAACAGTAGTAGTAACAAACATTAATATTTCAACGATTTAAGCATATCATTATGATACTTGTTGAGAATATTGATAAATACATAAATAATTATAACTGCATATTGCTGGTTCAAATATATAACTTATTATCACATTTCGTCACCAATTCTGTTTTAATCTAATCTGGGACTGATGTGAAGGGGTGATTTCAGCCACTAATAAATGCTTTTGTAACTGGAAATTGTCCACAACCACAACTTGAATTGAAATCATCTGAATCAAGACCCTCAATGAATTCCTTTGTAGTTATTTTGCGAAAGCCGCTAAAGTAAATAACAAAAATTTCAAGAATATGAAAATGATTACAATTTTGCTGAAAATTAGAGTAGAGTGAGTTACTGTAATAGATGTGTTAATTTTGAATTACATAAATTTTATATCTCATGTTAATCTGGGAGAAATACTTATTGAAATTACTAGCGGTACTTTCAATTTTCTAATGCAAATATATTGCTAGAATATTCAGCAGAAATTCAAATTTTAGGCCTCAGATGCCTCACTAAAGTGCTATGCTTCAATATCTTTTATGAACCCCATATCAAAACATAAAAATAAATAGAATTGGAATCTCTTTGTCTGTGTCAAATATATTACAGTATAAGCGTTACGGTTTGCTCAAGTCTAAACTACAATACCAAAATTGTCAGAAAAGGGAATAAATCAAGGTTAGATTTTTTGATACTATGTATCAATTATCAATATTGGTATTTGTTATTCAACAATTATACTTAGTAAATCATCGATCCTAGAAGACATTTTACACATATTTACAACTTTTAATAAGATGCTATCATCATTGAAGTTTCAGTTGGTCAGATGAAGACATTGTTCAATCAAATATCAACTAATGATTTGGTGAACACACAAGTATCCAGTATTTGCAATTTTAGTTTTCTAGCCACCTATAATTTGAGGGGCTTTGGGAAACCGAAATCAAAAACTATAAAGGCTATAACTTATAGTGACAAAATAGGTACTCACACACTAAATGTTCGTGACGATAACACTGATAAAATAAATACTACCTTAAATGTAATTCTTGTTATAAACAAAATTGCATAATCACTGTGCACATTTAGTACCAAATTTTCTAATGTCATAATAGAATATATGTTTGCTAGAAGATAATGTTTCAATATGGCTACTATAAGATAAAACGATGACAAATTTATTAAATTGGTTATCGAAATTATGTCAATCGTGGTTTAGACAGATCAGGCACCACCATAATTATCATTAAACGTGTATTTATTTTATGCATATAACAAAGTGGAACCTATCACTAAATTGTATGTATTAATATTAATGTGATCTGTTAGTTAAGGCAATATAGGTTTTAGTTAAAGATATCTCCAGCTGTATTCTCTTCCTTAGAGTGCATTAGATATCACACTTAGTTGTTCTTAATACATTTTATATTATTTCATATCCTGTTATCTATCTTTAGATATCTGTGTATTGGATTTGTCTGCCTTTATGATTAAATCCCGTTGTATAATCAGAGATTAAATATGATTTAAAAATATTTACTTGGTCATGTGAAAGCTGTGGACGGTTCTGACACCAGAGAGTTGAATTTGTGGTATTAATGCTACAATACTGAAATAAAAACAAAACAGAGATTTTAAGTGGAAAATTACAAAAACATGAAATTTGAAGACAAAGACATATTTTAACCTTGCTAAAAATATACTTCACTAAAAATAAACTGTTATCTGTGTAATCGAGAATAATATGTTAGGTAAGTGTTTTCACGTTTTATTGCTATATGAATTTTGATAAAAAGGTATTCCTAATTTAATTACCTTAATTTAAATTGTATAAAAAGAACATAAATCCTGTATATATTTTTACATAAAAATGGTTTTTTCTTTTAAGTATATAATTAGTTAAAGGGCACAGTAATATCTCAAAATATTTAAGTCCACTTCATCTAGATTTTATTTTAGTATTGAAACTTAACATCATTTTCTTCTTCATTTATTCAAAAAAAAAAAAAAAATTGTTATCAAAAATTATATAAAAATTATTTAAAAAATGTGAGAGTGAAATTGTTATTTTCAGTTCGGTTTCAACCGTTATAGCGATCAGTCGTGCGTGGCGTATCTATTGTTTTCGTTATCTGTCTGTTCATTTGTAATTGAACCGGCATCTTAGTATTAATACTACCTATATTTAAGCTGTGTCTTTGTATTTTTTAAAGTATACTTGTCGTTTAACGTATGTCGTCCACCTCGGGTGGAGCAGGCGATAAGCCTTCCAACCCAAATTCCAAACTCAAAGTCAATCTCCAAAAATCCAAAAATCACTCAGAATGGAAAGTTGTACAAAAAAAAAATAATAATAAGTCGTCGAATAACACTCCTTCAACACCGATCTCGCCGAATCTTCAACACATCATCGATAGGAACCCTCAACTACAACTACCTTCAGGTACACAGTTCCAATTTAACGATTCTAATATTAATCATGTTAATAATGATAACGATAATATAATTACATTGCCTGCGGTCGACTGTTACTCCGTCGATATGGATTTAGATAATTCACTTAATAATTCGTGCGATAAGAACGGTACTGGTCATGCGACAGTCGCAAATGACCACAGTCCGCCGATTGTCAACACAACGCCAGACAATACCAGTCTTACATACACGTCTTCAAAACAATTAAATTCACACGGTCGCGATTCCAACTTAATTAAATTTTCGGACAATTTTACCGGGGTCCCTGTTATTATAATAGAAGCAATTTCGGATAATAACAACGTCGGAAAGCTTCATCCTATGAAAGTTGGCAAACTTTTTTTTAATAAATTCAATGGCATTCTGCGTATCGATCCAATTGGCGTGAGAGTAAAAGTTACGTTCGACTCTATTATTTCCGCCAATATCTGCCTATCCTCGGTAGAGCTATCTACTATGGGTTTACAAGCATACATTCCATCTACACTTGTATATTCATTTGGTGTTATTAATCTTGATGTCTCGGTTCCCGAAGAAGATTTTTGGGAAGGTTTAGACTCAACGGTGCAAGTTGTCAGCTTCCGTCGCATATCAACCAACAATAATAGTAGCTCTTATTTACCATCCAAATTGGTGGAGTTGAAATTTCTCTCCCCAATACTCCCAGAAAAAGTCGCCATTTATAAAGTTTTATTTAAAGTTTCACCCAGCATTCGATCACCAGTAATTTGCCAAAATTGTCTCCGTTATGGTCACACTGCTAAATTCTGTCGTGGTAAAGCCAACTGCTCACACTGTGGTTTACCCGATCATTCGTTCTCTAACTGCCCCACAAAAGAGTCAACCGTACCGTCATGTTTCCACTGCAAAGGCTCTCATGTAGCCACTGACCGGTCATGTACGGAATGGTCTCGTCAGAAAAATATTAAGAAGATTATGGCCACTGAAAATGTGTCCTATAAGGATGCGGTTTTTATTATTAAAAATAATATTGTTAATAAATCATCTACTTTTTCTGATATTACTGCTAAACCTAAAACCAACGATGTAAGAGAATCCAGCAATAACAACATTATTATTTCAGATGAGACTTTCCCAAATATTGGTGAATCTCATGTAAAGTTAAAAACAAAAAATTACAATCATAATTTTTCTCGTAAGAAAAACAACTCTATTCCCTCTAAGCAACCATCTCACCCAGTTCCTGTCAATAAGGATTTTTCTTTCCCTAATGGCACTTTTCTAAATTATATGTCAGAGAATACTTATGCTTTTCCCAAAGAGAATTCTTGGGTATTTTCACTCGTCAATCAGCTTACTCATACATTAATTAATGACCCAGCATCTTTTTCTTCGCATTCCTCTCTTAATAACATAATTGAGTCTCATATAATTAATTTTTTCTCTTCCATACAGAATGGTTCGCAGGAAAATTAACGATCATCTTAACAGTCTTTTGGTTCTACAGTGGAATTGTCGTAGTCTTAGAGCACGTCGTAATGATTTTTCCTTTTTGTTGGCAGAAAATAAATGTCAATGCGCGCTTCTCTCTGAAACGTGGCTTTTACCGAATTCTCGTATATCTATCCCTAATTACCACGTTTTCCGCCAAGATAGACTGGATGGATACGGTGGGGTTGCCATTGTAATTCACCAGTCTATTAATAGTAAACGCATTTCCCTTAACGATATCACTAGGTATATTTTAGAACTTCACTCTATAGATGTAATAGGAATAGAGATTACGATCAATGATAAAACTGTCGATTTATGGTCAATTTATATCCCTCCCTCGTCTAACCCTTCTCCAGAAACTTTCAATCATATATTCTCTCTTATGAATGGGTCTTCATTAATTGGAGGTGATTTTAACGGTCACCATCCTGTTTGGGGATCTTCCACTTCAGACTTCAGGGGCAATTTGATACACTCCGCTATTTTGGATTATGGTCTCTGCGTGCTTAATAATGGTGAGGCTACTAGAATCAATCGTCCTCCGTATCCCGATACTATGGTCGACATCTCGATATCTTCGCCTAATTTATCTTTGTCTTGCTCTTGGTCCGTGCTGACGGACCCGTTTGGAAGCGACCATCTTCCTATCCTTATTAATATACCTAATAGACCTTCGTATTCAAATTCTTCTCGCAATAACAATAATACTTCCACTAAATTCAATATGTATGCAACAGACTGGAATCAATTTACCTATCAAGTCGCCAGTCTTTTAGAATCGTTCACATTGGATTCCTCACCACTTGACAACTATAATAACTTTGTAAATGTTTTATTATGTGCAACCAAAAAGTCTACCCCTCTTAGGTGTATAAATAATAAAAAACACCCTATTAGTCCCCCATGGTGGAATGAGTTATGCACCATTGCAGTAAAGACGCGCTCTTTTTATTTCCAAAAATTCAGAACGTCGCGCTCTCGCGATGACTTTATTACATACCGCAAGGCTTGCGCCGACACTACGAAAGTCCTGAATAAAACCAAAAAAGCCTCTTGGGAAAAATTATGTTCTAATTTAGATCCAGCCACGCCTCTGTCCGAGTTTTGGGCGACTGCGAAAAAGTTTAAACACTGCGTCTATCCATCTCCCACGGCCTCCAATGAGGATTGGTTTGAGAATTTTTGTAATAAGATTTCCCCATTGTATGCCCCCTCCGATGCGGAAATTTCACCTGATACTTTATTCAATGCAAATCAGTTATCTAACCACGGTTCTTCTCATTTTTCCTCTCCTTTTAATCGACAAGAATTGTCACTCGCCATAAACTCGCGCAAATCATCTGCAGGAGGGGTTGATAACATCTCCCCCCTTCTGTTTAAACATCTTCCGATCAAAGCATTCGATATACTATTAAAAGTACTTAATGACCTTTATTCCAACAATATTGTACCTGAGTCATGGAGACAATTTAGGGTGATCCCCATACCTAAACCTGCTGCTAAACATCCAGCGTACCGCCCAATCGCATTATCGTCGGCTTGTTGCAAACTTATAGAATATATGTTAAAAAATCGATTAGATTGGTACCTTGAGGCTCACCGTCTAATTCCAGATAATCTGTTTGGTTTTCGACGAGGTCTCGGCACCATGGAATGTCTTTCTAATCTTGTTGGTCCTATCTATGATACTTTTTGTAACCGTGAGTTTCTCACGGCTGCTTTTGTTGATGTAAAAGGTGCATACGATTCTATCCATATTCCTACTCTTATACTACGGCTTCAGGATCTTAATGTTCCCGACGTCTTCTATAATTATATTTACAACTTATTTCATGTTCGTTTTCTACATTTCAAATCTCCATCTGGTGCAGAATTCATTCGCTCATCATACAGGGGACTGCCGCAAGGAAGTTGTCTCAGTCCTATTCTATTTAACGTTTATATGACCCCTATAAGTAAAAGCTTATCTTCTCACGATTACTCATGTCTATTCTATGCTGACGACATTGTTGTTTTCTCAGTTAACAAATCTCTCAACCATGCCATTTTCCGCTTAAATTCTGCATTGAACTCGCTAAACAACAAACTCTCTTCTGCATTTTTTGAAGTCGCTCCTGATAAAAGCCAATTAATGATTTTTACTAGAAAACGCTACGCTGATTTCCCCCCTGTCTACATCAACAATAAGATCATAGTCCCATCCAATACAATCACATACCTTGGTCTTATTCTTGACCCAAAACTCAGATGGGTCCCTCATTTCAACAATCTTAAATGTATAATTTCTAAATGGTCCAATTTGCTCAGAGCATTAGCAGGTACTTGGTGGGGTGCGCACCCATCCTCACTCTTATTAGTATACAAATCAATTATCCGCTCTAAAGTTGATTACGGTTCTTTTTTATTCTCATCCGCGTCCCGATCACACCGCAACAAGCTGAATGCTATGTTAACCTCGTGCCTCCGCACAGTCATCGGTGCTGTACGATCTGCTCCGAACATTTGCCTGGAAGTGGAATGTGGTTGTCCACCTATTGAAATTCGGTCACGTCAACTTGCAGGAAAGTTTTTGTTAAAGCACATATCAAGCTCTCCCAATTCTATTTGTAATAAGTTTTCATCTTTGGCTACTCATTGGCGATACGTCCCAAAAACTCTCCCTATTTTAGCTTCCATTGCCGTTTCTATCAATCACTTCTCGTCCTCTATCATCTTACCCCAAAAGCGTCTTCATTGTTTTGATATCTCCTTTGAAGCTCTTACATTTCTTCCTCGAGTTCATTTATTACCACTCTTTAAGGATTTCAAGTTCAATAGTGATAAAGTTAATATGCCTACGTTATCTATTAATCACATCTTTAATGAATTTATAGAATTAAATTTCCATGATTACTGTTTGGTTTATACCGATGGCTCAGTGTCAAACAATTCTGCAGGTTTTTCATTCTTTATCCCTGAAAAGATGATCAAATATTCAGATACCTTACCTCATTTCACGTGCTCTTTTACGGCAGAATGCTATGCGATAATGACAGCTCTGGAGCATACCAAATCTTTAAACATTACAAAATGCTTAATTGTCTCGGATTCCCAAGCAGCTCTTAGCGCCATTAATTCTATCTCGATCTCTACAGCCACGTCTCCTCTTATTCTTAATATCAAAGCTTCGCTTTTTAAGTTATACTCACAGGATATAATAATCGAACTTTTGTGGGTCCCAGGCCATTCTGGAATTTCAGGCAACGAATTTGCTGATATCCTCGCTATATCCACCAAATATAGTGTAAACCCACCTGTTCGTAAAATCCCGTCTTCTGATATTTTTAATATTTTACAAAATAACTACAAACAGGCTTGGCAAGATAGGTGGTCATCAGTAGCACCTGATTTCGCTAAGTGGTATAGATCCATTACCCCTACAATTCCTCGACACCCATGGTTCGTTAAGCAGCCTCTAGACAGGTCCCACATCGTCCGATTTACCAGACTCAGACTTGGTCACAATTTACTTCCTGCACATGCTTTCCACCTAGACTTGAACGACTCCCCTTTGTGCACTCGACATGCAGAAGAAACAATCTGCGACTTCTCACACATTCTAGCTGATTGCCCATCACTCTCTAATTCCCGATCTAAATTACTCCGTTTTTTACATAATAACAATATTATGTCACTAGAACCTTCAATTATCCTTAATTCCTTTTCAAGAGTCATTATTATTATTATATTGAAATTTTTCGAAAATGCTGGATTCTTAATTTGATTATATTGGTTTTAATTTACTTAAACGCTTATTCAATTTTTTTTTTTTTTTTTTTTTTTTTTTTTTTTTTTTTTTTTTTTTTTTATATATATATTATTCATTAGTCATTCATTAATTTATTTAACTATTTCTTTTGTTTTGTTATTATAGTTTTCAGTTTCTGTTAACTTTTTTAATCACTGTTTGTTTTAGTATTATTAGCATGTATGTATATTGGACTTAATTTTCGTTATCCTGTACCGTAACGTATTAACGTATTCTTATTTGTAATTGTCAAGCTGTAATAATTTTATATTGATAGCTTTAAATAAAAAAAAAAAAAAAAAAAAAAAAAAGAAATTGTTATTTTTTTAATAAACAGTTATTAAATATTTTTTTCTATATCTTTTGTTTACGAATGCAAACCAAATTTTCTTATCATGTGATAAAAATTATATATAATTTAATTAATATAAACTAAAATGAAATATTTATATTAACACTTTAATAATTCAAGGTAAAGTTGATTCTTAAACTTTTATATCTACATTTAAAAATTAACATACCTTAGAATACGTTGTATATTGCACATCATATATTGGCGGTTGATCATCTGGGATCATTATTACACTCTGTAACCAAGCATAAACTTTGGACTTATCCATTTTTGAACTAGTTACAGCTGAAGTCACTTGTTCCTGGAATATTTCGTAAGTAATGTAGTATTTTTAAATTGAAATATTTTATTATATTTAAGAACAAGTACATACCATTGTCGTCATATTAGGACTTGGGCATGTTACTGGAGCCAAACCATATATCTTTCCCTCTGAATCACAAATGTTTATACTAAAATAGTTAATTAAATAAATATCCAACACACCATTTGTTATTGTAAAATCGAAAGCTTAAAAAACACAAAGAAACAATTTATATAAACATAAAAGATAACAATGATTTATTGATCTCAGAAGTATCGTTATAGATATATTTGACTTACCCGAAAGATCACTAAATTTTGTATAGGTATATGCATCTATCATTAATCCAAAAATTATTTTATGTTTTACTCCTTGTTTGACTTGACTAATAAATGTACTTATTTTTTGGGGAAAATTGTCCATGACATCCTTAAAAAATGTATGCCAATCAATCATAACGATACTAGTATTATATAATAAATTAATTTTTTTAAGTAAGAATTTATTGTATGTTCTATTTATTAGATTTTTTAAAATAAGTTAGAATTATATGGCTTAGTGTCACAAGATATTTTACATAACTATCTTTAATTGATACATGTGATCAGAGAGTTTTAAATAAAGGGTACACTCAAATACCAAAGTTTCAAGACTATGTTATGTTTTAAAGATTGTTTTATAACACTGATAAAGACAGCTTAGAATTCTATCTGTTCTGATTGAATAATAATCTTATAAAAGAAGCTTTCAAAAATTGATAAAAAAACATAATTTTCATTTAGGGGTATTTTATGTATAAAAATGAACTGTTTTACAAATACAATTTTTAAAACTATGTACTGGAAATTTACAATTTTTTTCAGCATCCCTGTAATTGCCAATTAAAATCAATTTGATTATGTCAAATCAGAAAAGTTGTATTCTAGTTGAAAATTTTATTTCAAAATAAAATCGTACAAACTTATAATATTAAAATTTTAAAACTATTGTTTAATTAAGCTAACTTATTTTTTACTCACATAAATTGCATATATATTCAAGATAAGACCGCTAATTTTAAAATCATTTAAAAAATTGACTAATGGACCAATTATTTCATTCTTTTGTCGTTCCTCATCCATAGGAGCAAATATTGAGGTCCAACTACTATCCTTATAATATATTCCAAGTTTTGTATAAACAACCTTGTTAGCTGTATGCAAGGCTCTCATTACATCTTTAAACATATAGATTTTATTATATTTAGACACAGTATTCAACTTATAGTATCAACTATTTAATGTTTTTAATAGTTCTAAATTATAGCGCTTAATATATAACAAGCTACTGTATTCATTTTTAGGTTGCCACGAACCGTCAGTATCTATTCCATATCTTTAAACAATTATTAATAGGTTAATGGCTTACCGACAGAAATAATACATCAAATAACAACAAATATCATTTGATCATAATTCATAATTCACTTTTTAATATTTTCATTAGCTGGTTTGAAAAATTGTTTTATAAGTGCTCTTTAATTTCCTTAAGTATTAATTTCCTTAGCTTATTTGTTCGTTTTTACAAAGAATGGAAATTTGTTATTTAGTCTATTTACTAATTGATTGTGTATTAAGGTTTCTTATATAATTATTACCTTCATCAGATTTTGTTGTATGGTTAACAACATTATTATTCCTGTCAATATAATATTGACCTATAATAATTACATCACAACCATCTGGTATTTCGGCTACATTGAACTTAAAATCACTGTGATTGTCACTTCCAATTATAACACAAAGTATTTCGCTTGGCCAATCATCTTAAAAACATGTATACATATTGATTAAATCCAAAAATACATAAGGAGAAAATATAATTATTTTTAATATTTAAAACAAAAATATGCTGTTATCTATTTTGCTGTTCAGTGGGTGTTGGATGATTCTCATCATTGATAAGTTAAGTGTAATTTATATGTTTAATATTAAATCAAAGATTAATAACTCCAAACAAAGAATGATTCTGATCAGAATTGTATTAGCCTAAGTGTTTACGCATACTTTTATTATTTTCTTATATTTATTTTATATTTTTATATTATTGTTTTCGTTGCGTGACAAATTTATTACCTTATTATTGTATGCGCTGTGCGCGATAAGTGCAGGTGTTTGTATTTTTCACGCATGATTATCTGAATTATGATTTGGGTAATATGCGTGGAGGATTATGGACATTTGCACTGATCCCGAAAATTGTACACTTCATTTCAAAAGAGAACATACCGGTTTCGCGCATGTCGACTGACGGCTGCCAGCCGTCCCGAGGCTAATTTCTCCCACTTTCGCCATAACTAGCCATCGATCGAGCACGAAAGTTGCCGATCAAACTGTGCCGACGAGTATACAGTATACACTAATTATTAAAATAGCCGGTTTACAATTATTTATCATATCCAAGTGACACGGCGTTAACGTTTACCAAGGAATCGGGAATATTTAATATTTTTTAAATAGTTTTTTATTGATAATATGATTATTTAAATTGAGCATCAACTTAATGGTTGTATAATAATAATTTACAGTAAATTTTTATACATCATGTACACAATACAATAAATAGGTTTTTACAATAATAATTTTACAAATATTTACACAATTTTATCTTTTAATCTGATAAAAGATCGAAATCGTCATCTTCTTCAGTGTCACTATTTCCTATGGTCATAACCAATCTGTTTTGTTCAGCCGACAATTCGTCCACCGTGTCATCTAAGGTCCAAAACTTATTTTCCTCTTCAATTGTGTACTTTACGAAGTTCTTCCACATTTCAGCGTCCACTTTGGCTATTCCTTCGACCAAGAGGTTTTTGACATCAGGTAATTTAAATGTCTTGTTGTTGGCTTTTACGTGACGTTTTACAACAGACCAAACTAACTCAATTGAATTGAGCTCGCAATGATAAGGTGGTAACCTTAACACTGTTTTGTTCTGTTGTAAAACCATCTCGTCGATGACGTACTTGTTGTAGATCGGTTTTATCCTTCTAACAACTTCCAGTAGTTCCGGTATTATCATAGTTTGGTCAACAACTTCTCCTTTACCCTGTAGCCATTGGATGATATCAGCCTTCCTCCAGTTTGAAGTCGGGCATTTCTCCAACTTCACCGAGTGGTATGGCGCGTTGTCCATAACTATGACCGCATTATCTTTGAGCCTCGGTAAAACAACTTCCAACCAATCACGGAAACTATCACCATTCATTTCATCATGATAATCGTTGGTGTTTTTCTTCGACTCAAAGCATAATAACGAATCCGAAACAAATCCATCTTCAGAGCCGATGTGACACACTATGAGCCGTTTTCCCTTTCCGGTGGGGTTAACTGCTCCGGTAGAAAGACCCTGGGAAAATGCAGCTTGGCTCGATTTAACGGTTGTATCACACCATACTCGTATTGCCACGTCTCCGGCATTCACCCACGTTTCATCCAGGTAATAAATCGGTCGGCCTTCCTCTCGATATTTCCTTATATCCCTGATATACCGTCTACGCCATGCCCGAATGTCATCATTTTCAATTAATGCACTGTTGCGTCCTCTTTTTGAAAATTGAAAACCCATTGATTTCAAAAGACGCCATAGTGTTGTCAATGCGAAGTCCGGTAAAGTGTCATCTTCATTTACAACACTTAAAATTTTATTTAAATTTGGCAACTCACGATTTACCCAAAACTGATGAACTTTTCTTCGTATCGCTTCTTTGTCAAAATCATCAACCTTAACATTGATATTTTTGAAAATTTTCGTCCTATTCGGTGATGATACTGTTTTAAAGTTGCGATACTCGGAAAGCGTGTTGGATATTGTGGTTATACCAATGCCTAATTCTTTGGAAAGAATTACACGAGCCTCTCTTATAGCAAGCTTGGGATTAGCTTCCAATTTACTTTTGTAGGCATTAATTATCATCTCCTTTTGGCGAGAACAAACAAACTGAAAAATAAAAAAATTTATAAGTAAAATCCAGCTTTAAAACGATCATATTGAAAACTTTAACTATAAATTACAATAATTGTAATAATCAAATTAAAAAAAAATCATTAACATATACGGTAAAAATCAGGGATGGAAAAAGGTTTTTAAAAAACCTTATTTAACGAAAAAAATGAAAAACGAAAACAATTAATAAAATGAAAACGTCGAAAACAACAAAAATATAATAACGAAATCAAAAACGAAAACGTAAATAAATTATAGAGTTAATTCTGAGTTATACTGTTATTATTTATTACGAAAAAAAATATATATATTATATATGTGTTATCACTTTTAAAAATGTTTTAATTTGAAATTTTGAATTTTACATATAAAATATAAAATATAAATGATTATTTTGATTTGAAATTTAAATTTTAAATATTAAGAATAACTAGTTATAACTCAAGTGCATGTAACTATTATAAGTTAGGTATAAGAAATAAAAATATATATATAAAAAAAAAAAAAAAAACAAAATTATCGAAAATGTTATTAGGAAACAATTTAGAAAAATAACGTTTAAAAAAACGAATGGCGGACAATTTCCCCCCACTTTTTTTTTTAAGTTTATTATTTAATATTTAATAAGAAATTATTTTTTTTCCAGTAAAATATAATTTTTTTTTTATAAACATAATCAATTATACTATAATTACCTATTATAGTAGATGTATATTTTTGATAAATTCAACTACTTGAAACAATAAAATAATAGTAATATTATATTTAAAAGATTGTCTAAATAAAAAAGTAATAGTACTAGCACATTGTATTATTTGCTATTATCTAAAATTAATAAACTATTAAAAATTAAAACAGGTTGGTTTTTTTAACAAAAAAAAATAAATATGAAAGACAATTACAAAATATGTACTTAGATATAAAATAAGTATCAGAAATTAAATGTTTTTTACAAAATATATCATTTGTATGTATTGTGTCGAAATTTTGAATATATTTCATAAATATTTTAACTTTTATAATTCTATATGAATTTTACCTAAATTTTTACTTATATACAAATTGTTCGTTTTATTATACACCAATTTTATTTTATTTATGAAAAATAATTTCTTATTAAATATTAAATAATAAACTTAAAAAGTGGAAATGTCCGCATTGAACATTTCTCGGGGAGAATGTCATGCTATGCCAAAAACAGTCAGGGAAAATGTCGGAGGAAATTGTCGGTTACCTTAAAAAACGTTAATCAAAAACATAGTAATCAAAATGTTTAAAACGTTAAACAAAACGAAAACCAATAAATTAAACGTTTTCAATCCCTGTTAAAAATCATTAAAATATGCAACAAATATGCATTTACGAAATTTATATTTAAAATTCTTAGTTACAGTAAGTGTGAAAAATATAAAATAATAAAATATAAACGTATAAATAAGAACACAAATAAATAAATACATAAATATTACTGTTTTGAGTTACAACCATATAAAAATCGATTCGGTCGAAAACTGGGTTTTGCGTAAAAATTCCGTTTATTTTATTTTAATTTCTATATGTTTGAAATTATTTCTTTTAATTGCAAAACAAATAGATTCGGTCTCTACCGAAAGCCCCTGTTTGGATGAGCAATCGACATTTTACTACCAATAAGATGATGAAAACAAAAACAACACACCATCATTGTAAATGCCTTTACATTCATTGCTGCGAAAATCAAATGATGATATGGCAACGTTGCAGATTTTCACAATGGCATTTATTGGACTGTATAACATTTTCAATCGCGTTCTGTGGTGCTCAGAATCATTGTTCGTATACAATTTCATATGAAACCCATGTTAGGTAGATACATATACGACTCACAAAGCGATATAGTACCTACATGACCATATGCAACACATTGTATTCAGCTAAAGGAATGTCAGTCTGAACAGTCTAGACATTTGTGGTACAGTCTAAAATCAAGATATGGAATATAGTATAATATATATATATAACTGGCCTTAATAGCACCAATACTACCACTTAAATAACACTGTATAGTATTAATTTAATCTAAACATTTACTTGGAATTATAGTTTAGCAAAACATTTAAATAGTATTTTTAAATATTTTAAACAGCATAAATTGTATTACATAAATAACAAATACTTTTATCGTATTTTATTCCTCGCATAAGTCATAAATTAATTTTTCTTAGATACACGTTTATTGTATTGTATATTAACTAATTTAAACTGTTAAGTAAAAGCAATATAGATAACTACCTATGTTAATTTGTATTACAATATTATGATGATTATATTTATTATTATCCAATATTACCATTATTATTAGCCATTATTCTGTTAATTATTACATGATGTTTAAAATGTAATCCTTGAAACAATTTTACAATTATTTCTTAAGTAATAAAGAACTCGAGAAGATAACAATATGGATACAAAACATGATGAAACATGTCAAAATAGATTTTCGTCGTGTTAAATCAGACAACACTAACAACACGATACAACCTGATGAATGGATGGATTTGATGATCAAATTATGAAGCCAGAACAAAATTACAACTTTGAATTTCAATCTAATATGGCTGATACAATAAGCCCAACAGTAGATCTTCGTCAAGTTCAGCACGACAGTGTTAACACCGTGAAACAAAGAAAGAAGTTGGATGAGTTTAAAATAAACCAAACGGACCGTTTGCACAAAAATAAGATTATGAGACCGTTAAATATATCCAACCATGCCAAGACATTGACCGAATTTTAGATAGTTCAAGAATGATATCTCATAAAAACATTATTGCTCAATGAAACATATCCAAATCAGTGTAAGAATCAAAGGATATTATATTGTTACAAATACGTGTGCATTGACATATTGCAGTCCTGTGCTTATAGCATATAATGATAATAATTCATATAAACATGCATAAAAATAATGGTGAAAACTTATTCTTGCAATTTTCAAAGATTTGGCAATACAAGGATCAAACAACAAAATTATTT